CTCCCGCCCGAGCTCTGCGCCACCTTCCCGGCCCCAGCCCCAGCCCCTTCCCCCCGCCCCCCGCACCCCGACCTCCGCTACCTCGCGCCCTGGCCTTCGCTGGCCCCCGCCACAGTGGCTGCTGTGCGACCTGGGACTCGTGGGCTGCCTCGCTGAGCCTCGACCACAAGGATGGGGATCCCGTAGAACGCTGCGCTCCTCCGAGGACTGGCAGGAGCGCAGGAAAGAAAGGATCCCGCGTGGGAATGCAGGAGGACGGGCCTGGCTCACTGAGGGCCTGAGTAGATGGGTGGCATTTGTGTGATCACTACTAGCTTCCCCGTAAGGGTACCGTTCCTGTGGCTTTTCCGGGTCCAAGGCCAGTGGACACAGTGGGCCAGAGGTCACCCAGGTCCAGGGGCTTGAGTACCTTCAGGACACCTCCGACCACGCCTGGACCTCTCCAGGCCTCCATGTCCCCTGCACACCTGAGGGTTGTAGGCTTCTGCCCCTGTTACTGGATCAGCAGGGGGAAAGTGGGGCAGCCCTGCCTCCAGCGCACCCCCACCCGCTGTGGGGGGCCAACTCGCTGACACCTCCAGTGGGGTGGTGTGAGAAGGGGTGTGCAGGTGTCTTGCCTGGTCTATCTCTACTGCCCCCCAAACATTCTGTGCACTTTACTTTTGATTCAAGTCCCCATCCCAAAGCACAGTACCTCCAGGGGCAGGGGTTGGGGGGGTGGGGGGTGGGGTCTGGGTCACCTGGCTCATCCCTGGAGCCCTGGCACATAGTGGGAGCTCAGAATCAATCTGTTATGTCAATGAATGTGTTTCACATTCACCTGAGCTCACCTGGCCCCAGATGTTGGGTGGGGGATGGGGGAGCAAAGTGAATATTTCTTAAGCCCCAACGCCAGGCAGGCATGGCCCCGCTCATTACCGCTCATTACCTGAGTTGTCTCATTTCACTCTCAACAGCCCCCATGAAGAAGGTGCTGTCAGTACCTAGGTGGGAAATTGAGGCCCAGGGAAGGGAGGTCTTTTGCTAATGATGGCAGGTTGGAAGTCTGCTCCTATGTCTGGCACCCTGTTCTGGGCCTGTTATCAGGAAATAGGAACCAAACTGAGCTGAAACTGGGACAGTTCCCCCAAGGAAAAAGGGAACTGAAACCAGGACAAATGGAGCCAACAGGGAAAGGGCTGGGTTTGGGCCCAGGGAAAAAGATCCTGGGGTGCCAACCATGATTTGGGGTGTCAGGGGGACTGGCACTTGTCCTTCAGGGCCCTGATGAAGAGGTCCCAAGGACAAATGTCAGCTCAGCATAAGGCTGAACTGAACCTAGTTCCTAAAAGGTACAGAAGACCCGGCTAGCTGCCCCGTGGCACAGATCCTGGAGTGGAAGGGAGGGAAACTTTCCAACTCTGAGATGCAAAAATCCCTAGGAATTCTTGTCCCAGTCTCTAGGAATCATATTCCCGAAGTCTTGGAATTCTGGACCACGGGTGCCTTGGGGAGATGGGTCCAAGAGGGCCGAAGGGGCCTGGGAGAGGAGGAGGGGGTCCAGCTGAGACAGTACAGGTTGGAGGTGAAGCACGCCGGCTCTGGGTCAGGCAGATCCCTGTTCTGCCAGTTACTGACATGTGTGGCACTGGAGGCTTCACCTTCCCAAGCCTCAACTTCCCAGCTGGAAGATGGAGATAGTGACCACGCAGGGTCCATGCACTCACACATTCATTCTCCTGATATCAGCTGAGTGCCTCTGTGTGTCAGGCGCGGTGCCAGGCGCCAGGTCGTGACTACACGACCCCTCCCCCGCCCTTGTACTCTGGATTCCGTAAAGGAGGCTGCAGTGGTGTCTATAAAATAAGGCACCTGTTAGAGCGGCAGTCACCTTCCAGAAGGGCTGCCACCAGCCAGGGACCAGACCAGTTCTGAGGGCTTCCAAAGGGCAGAGTTAGGATCAGCAAGGCTAGGGCGAGGGTATGAGAAGCCGGTTTGGTGTAAGGGGTGTGGGGGGCCCCGAACAGCTGGAGCTGGCCACAGATAGCTACTAGGAGCAGTAATGGAGACTCTGTCTTGGGAGGTATGCAAGGCTCTGAGAACGAGCTATCAGGGAGGCCATCAGGACACCATGCACAAGGTGGGCAGTGAGCGTGGCTCATCTTCAGAGGTTCCTGCAGGTTCTGAGACTTCTAGAAGCAGCAGCCCCTCCTCCCTGACCTCCTAAGAAGGTGGGGAGTTGGAGGATCTCTCAGCTGGGCAGGCGGGGAGCGCCACCTGCCGCTCCTCAAAGACACTGGTCACCAGCAGGAGTGAGCACAGGTCTGGACCCCTGAGTGTCTCATCCCGCTCCTTCTCCCCCTCCCCCACCCCACCCCTGCCAGTGCTCTTCTCGGGATTCACAGAGGCACACCTTCATGGGCCCTCCCACACCCAGGATTCCATCCAGTCATCTCCCCTGTGCCTACCTGTTCGTTCCAGCTCCGCCCCAGCCCCTCGGGGTCTCCCTTCCCCCGCCATGGTGACCCACCCAGGCATCAGCACCCCCCCACCCCCCCCCCACCCCCGGCTCCTGGGCCCCTCTGGGGAGCCTCGCTGATTGCCTTGGGCAAGGCCATTCAAGCCCCATCTTTGCACTCCCCACCTGACTTTACTGGATCCCCCGAAAGCAGGAACACCTTGGAATTCCCAGTGGATCACAATCGCAGAGCTCCAGCGGAGCTCAGCGTGCACCCGGCGCTGCTGAGAAGTGTGCAGAGAGAAGCTAGGAGACAAGCCCAAAGTCGCACAGCTGGTAAATGAGAGCTGAGATCCTGACCCGAGCCCTTAATCACACTGTAAGGCCAAGTCCAGAAGTATGTCAGGAAGCCTCAGGTGAAAGAAAGAGTCAGGGAGGGGACTCCTACTGTCACATGAGCACAACCCGCAGGCAGACTGGGATGAGCCTGGCCCCAGATAACCCCTGGCAGGTGCACCTATCATCACGCTGCCCCACCACTTCTGGACCCTCGGCCTGGACCCTGGGCTCCAACAAGACAGCAAAGGGGACATGGGAGCCTCAGCCAACAGCTTTGAGCTCTGTGCCCGAGTAACCCTGTTGCCAGTTCCAGCTCCAGGCCTGGCATACAGTAGGTGCTCAGTAATTGTTGGCTGACGCTGCCTGCCCCCCCAGACATTTGGCTCCACAGGCTGGCTCTTTGTCACCCAGCACTGCCCTTTAAGATGAGAACCAGGATCCACGGAGGGCTGACTGCTCGCCAGGCACTGTTCTGAGCACCTGCCGGCAACGGTCTCACGGACTTGTCCCCATGGTCCTGTGACATGCAGACAGCTGCCTGTCGGGGCGGTCACCACGAGGACCAAAGAGCCAATGCTTGGGAGCCCCTCCAACAAAGCCTGGCCCCCGGGAGCATGACAGATATATTTGCTGTTCCCGCTGGCCCCATTTTACACTCTGGGAGACGGGCTCTGAGAAGCTGGTGACAGGCCAGCTGAGGGACTGGACTGGTCTTGCAGGGGAGGCCAGGGGAGGCCCAGACACCCTGAGCACAAACTCCTGTCTGGCCAGGTCTGCCCCAGGGGCCAGGCCACCTGTGAGGGGGGGAGGGCAGGGACAAAGACGGGGGTGGCTCCCAGCTCTGTGGATCCGAAGCTTACACAATTTGAGGGGACCACGAATACAAAATTAGGAACAAGGCTTTGGAAGGGGGCCATGCAGGCAAAGGGTCCTGAAGCTTCAGTTTCCTTAAGTTTACAACAACTTTGCCTCTACATTTTTGTGAGTGAGCAGGGCACTAAGCGAGGAAGTGTTAACACCACTCTGAGGGGTTGGTGGCCACAGAAGCAATCTAGGAAGGCTTCTGGTGGCGGCATCTCCCCTGATCCATGGCAGACAGGTCACACTGAGACTGAGCCCGGCCCAGGAGGGCCTCTGAGGCCTTGAGGTCCAGCTCCAGCTGTGTGTGGATGAGGCCAGGAACATTCTAGGGGCTTGTTCACTGTAACCTAGAAAGAACAGAGCATGGGGGGATGGGGGGGCTCGTGGTGCTCTCCCTACTGCACCCCCCTTCATCTGCCCATGTTATGAGTGAGAAAACTGAGGCCCGTAAAGAGGAAGTGACTGGCCTGGGGTCACAGAGTCAGTCTAAGGCAGAACCCCAGGCTGCTTCCTTCCCTGCCCTAGGGGCTTTCTCTCACCCACTCTTTCCTCCTATTTGCAAAAACTCATGACATAAAACCTATACCACAACCAAGGCCCTCATTCAAGCCCTTCCTTCCATGGGGCACCCCAGTCCTACCAGGCCAAGGTAACAGGGCTAGGAAATGGATGTTGGGGGGGTGCTGGGACAGGCCCAGAGGTGGGCTTTCCCAGCAAGGGGAAGGGGGGGATGAGGGGGGCTGCGGGGATGTGGAGGAAGGGGAGGGAGAGAGCAGAAGGGGTGGGAAGGGAGGAGGGCACTGCCATTCCAGAAGCCATCCCATTTGCCCACCCCCGTTCCTGGGAATAAATTGCACATTTGGAGTCATTTTCCTGGAAGAAAAAAAAAAAGCCTCTCTAAAAATATTTTTCCTTTCTCACCTCATCCTGGGGCTGGAGCTGCCCAGCTGGGTGACAGCCAAGGAAAGGGGGTGCAGGAGAGTGACCTGGAGCAGGAGGGGGGCATGAGACAGAGGACTGAGTGGGGCAAGGAGACCCTCTCCCCGCCACCCCCCCCCCCAGGCCCTGGGATCTGAGCAAACACTGCGCTCATTGAGGCTGTCTTGTGTTTCTTGGTGTTTTGAGGGCCCTAGAGATCCCTTCCAAACCTCAGCCTTCAGTTC